CCTAAACCCTAAAACCCTAAAACCCTAAAACCCTAAAGCCCTAAAACCCTAAACCCGAAGGCTCCGGCGGGGACTTCGGCTCTGGCTCGGCCCTATTTAAACCCTAAACCCAAAAACCCCCAAAACCCCTAAACCCCCTCAACCCTAAACCCCCTCAACCCTCAACCCCTCAACCCTAAACCCTCAACCCTCAACCCCTCAACCCTAAACCCTAAAGCCCCTCAACCCCTGAACCCTAAACCCTAAACCCAAAGGCGGTGGCATCAGGGCCAGGCCCGGGCATCTGTGTTGGAGGCTTACTTCCGCACCACTGGCCCTTCTCGCTCTTAGAGTTTAGGGAGGAAGAGCAAGAGCAAAAGCAACAGCAAAAGCAAGAGCAGGAGGCGGAGTGCGAGCCAGAGCAAAAGCAAAAGCAGGAGTAAGAGCAAGATCCCTCGCAAGTGACAGCAACTCAGCAGAAAGAAACTTATCCACTACAACTAGAAGCGCTCTCCCAGTTTGTGTTGGAGAAGGGTCCCCATTGTTTGATACTAGGTGGAAAGGATTCTAAATCAGGCGGGAAAGATCCCCGGACTGACACAACATTGAACATCAAACTTTGAACCCTCAACTCCCAATCAAGTCACAACTGCGAACCAAATTCTAAGCCAACTATGACCAACCCCCTAAACCCCAAAACCCTAAAACCCCAAAACCCAAGCCCTAAACCCTAAACCCCAAGCCCAAAACCATAAAACCTAAACCCTAAACCCCAAACCCTAAACCCCAAACCCTAAACCCCAAACCCTAAACCCCAAACCCAAAACCCCAAACCCCAAACCCCTAAACCCTAGATCCTCTTTAAAAACTCCTCCAACTTCCGCCAGCAGGCGCGAGCTGCGTGTTTGCCAGGGATTCGGAGCCCCGGACCTCGAAAGGACGCTTGGGGGCATCCATTTTTGGCTTAGGGGAGTTAGGGTTTAGGGGTCTAGGATTTAAGGCTTTCGGGCTGCGTTGGGTTGAGGGGTTTAGGGCTTATAGGGGTTTAGGATTTACGGGTCTAGGGTTTGAGGGGTTGGGGGTTTCGGGGTTTCGGGGTTTAGGGTTTGGGTTTGGGGGTTTAGGGGCTCAGGGGTTTAGCTAGGGCTTTGGGGCTTCGGGGTTTCAGGGTTTAGGGTTTAGGCTTGGGGCGCGTTCAAGGGAACTCTGTGGGGCCTTCAAAGATTCCTTTAAAGGGTTCTTGAAGGAGATTCGGCTCCTTTTGAGGGAACCCGATATTTCTACCCTGATATGAACCGTTCAAGGTTTGGGGGTTTAGGGGTTTAGGGGTTAGGGGCTTTTGGGGGGTTAGAGGTTTGGTGTTGAGAGGGTTTTGGGTTTAGGCATCCCTGGAAAGCTTCGACCGGTATTGCTGGGGCAACAAAGGAACCCTGAAGAGCTGAAAAAGAGCTTTGTGTGCGCCTTCATGGGCTCTAAGTTGTAAGGTTGATGATATAAATCCTGCACTACCCACAACAAGGAATATACCATAATTCCCGTAGTTGAGGGTCCTTAAGCTACTGCAGGATTCATATCATCAACAGTATCTCGGCTATAGTATAACGTAACGGTTTAGGGTTTTTGTTGTTGTTCAAAGGGCTCCTTTCGTCTGCACGAAGGTCGACTACGGCTTTCGAATCCTCATGTAAAGCTTATAGGGTTTAGGGCTCAAGCCAGCCTAAACCCTAAACCCTAAACCCTAAACCCCTAAACCCTAAACCCTAAACCCGAATCCGGCCTGCGGAAAAAAGTCGCTGTGATCTTCCTCTGGTGAAGCGAGTCGGGCAAGCGCCAACAGTGCCTGCAAGCGAGCCCATCACTCCTGACCATTGAAACATGAAAAAGTAGGGTCTGTATAAACTCCAAAATTCAGGCACATAATCAGAGCCTACAAAAAAGTTGGTTATATAAGTTTCAGGTACACGCTGTAATGGGCCTAACGGCTTTACACCCCGACACATGAACCTTATGAACTCCTAGTAGTGAGTCCTCGGAAACCAGGAACCCAGGAGGGGGTCCAAGCCTTGTCCAAGCTAGCCTATTAGCCCCAGACCATCCGAAAGCTTGAAACCCAAAGAACCTATCGCCTCCTCTTAGAGCCCTTGAGATTCTACTGACCCTCCAGGCCCATGTACCATTTGACCTAGTTTTGTATACTTTGGCATATAGTTTAGGGCCAAAGTATCTACTGCATTGGTCCATGGACCCTTCGGGTAGGAAGGCGTTAGGTACGTTGGACAAAGCTTGGATTGAAGTCTCCAGGGCCCGGTCGATTGCCAGGTGAACCGTTTTGGTTTAGGGTTTGCTGATTAAACCAAACCTGAAGGCCTGAAGCCTAAACTTGAAACCTTAAGCCATAAAGCCCGAACGCAAAACCTAAAGCCCTAAACCCTAAAGGCACGGCTCAACCCTAGCAGTTAGGTTTTGGGTCTATAGGGGTTATGGTATCCTAGCAGCCACCGCGCCTCAGGGAGGTCCTGCCGTGCGGCTTCCACGACGTGGAAGACGGCGGCTTCGACCTCGCCACAGTCTAAGGATTTAGGGGTTTGGGTTTAGGGTTTAGGGTTTAGGGTTTAGGGTGTAGGGTTTGGAGTTTTGGGTTTAGAGTTTGAGCTCTGGGGTTCGAGTTTAGGGTCTCGGATTTTGGGGGGGCTTAGAGGCTTTAGGTGTGGGGATGGGTAGGGTTTGGGGTTTAGTGGTGTGGGGTCTAGGCTTGGGGATCATACGGTAGGTGCGAGGTTTAGGGTTTAGGCTTTGTGGGCTTAAGTAAAGTTGTAAGCACCTTCTTTACGGATTTACGTAATCAATGAGTATAATCAGCATATTTGTAGCCTGAGCTATATAAATCCCATGAACAGTCAGGTAGGGTGTCGGGTTGAGGGATTCGGTCAGTATCCCTGAACTGCAATACATGTCTAGCTACTTCATTGTCTTATTCTCGGATCCTAAAAATGCCTAAGGGTCCAAGCACTCCTCATGTATGGTTTGAGTACTGCAAGGGCTTTCATAATTAGAATTATGTTTTGGGGCCCTTTATACTACTACTATACGAAGGAGCCACCAAAATGATTTCGGTCATCATTTAAGGCCCCTATAGTACTCGGACCCTTAGGCAATGAGACCCTACACTCTTCTCTGTAGGACCGACCCTAGCGCTTCCACCTCGCAAAGCTCGATGAGCGGTCTTGTTTGTGTCGGGGTTCGGGGTTGGTCTTTGGAGATAAGACCGATGACAATATCGAGACATGGAGCACTGAGTGAGTAACAATGTTCCAGTATGGTCGGTGTAAAATTGTAGTGTTATAAAAGCAGATACAACACTACTGTAGCTCTTGGTGAGCTTTTGGAGGCTCGAGTATTGATGAGGAGCTTGGTAGATGGTACGCTTCACCCATATCCCCGAACACTACCATATCGGCGCTTGAACATAACGGTACATTGTAACCCCTCGACAACAGCTATAGCGCACACCCACGATAAAACACCGTTAAACCCTAAACCCTAAACACCAAACCCTAAAGCCGCAGCTCGTTGGATGCACAGGCATGCTTTTCGGGCACATGCAGCGGCCATCTCGTTCAGTCTCGGGATCTGGTGTATGGCTTAGGGATGCTGTAAGTACTGGTATAACAATCACGAATAATCGCAATCATAAAACACTTTACAGAAACAACACGAATACGGACAATAAGAATAGTATTAGCAATAACAATAACAACACAGATGGTAAGAATCAAAAATAATTTCAGATGCCATAATTATTTTTTGTTGTTGTGATTCGTATCATTCGCATCATTACTGCTATTGTGATGATTACTCTTGTTCCAGTGGTTATAAATCCCTAAACTCTACATGCCACATTGAGATCAGCATGCTGCAGTGGCGAGGAAGCCAGAGACTTCTGGTTGTATCCTGACATAAGGGGTTTGGGTGAGAAGATATGGGTAGTTCTCTAAATTAGGGTCCCTTTTGGGAAGCCTTATTTATAAGGATGCCGTACTATTCTTGGGGACATACAAAGGGACCCTAATTTCGAGAACTACCTACATCTAAAGATTCTAATGAAGACCGGGCACCAATTGCCGGAGTCTGCCAAGAGCCCTTGAAATACAACCTCATCCCTCTCTTTCGAGCTGACTTTGTCCATGCATCTCTGCAAGCCAGGAAGCTCTAATAGAACTCTACGAAAGACCCTTCTGACTCCCTTTTGAAACCCCAGAGGTTTAGGGTTTAGGATTTAGCGTTCTAGCCTAGAAGTACAAGATCCCTGTTCAGGGTTTAGGGTCTAGGATTCTAGCCTAGAGGTACAAGATCCTTAGCCCCAACTGACTGAAGAAGGCTTTACAGCCTCCGCGCGTTGGGGTGCGCCACGAGGCTCATCACCTTCAGCTTGCGCGGTTGCCGCTGAAGATGGGCTGAGCTGAGTCCCTGGTGCTCCAAGTACACAAATAATACCTACCTCGGGACCTAGGAATCTATACATATGATTACTCTCCAGGGTTTGACACTTTTGGGTCTGGACCTTAAGTTTCGGGGATGGCATGGGCGTAACCGTTTCGCACTCTAAACCCTCGACTGAACAGGCTGTACTCCTTAAGCCCTAAACCCTGAAACCCTAAACCCCAAGCCTAAACCCCCAACCCTAAACTGCAAGACCCAAGCTTCACCGGCAGTATCCCGCACCTTGCAACCCCACCCGCAAACCCTACATTCTCGTTGCCCGGAACACTTAAAACACAGCTTGAGTACCTGGACCGAGCAAGGTTTTGGGATACAGTATGGTATAGGTGCATATGTAAACCGCAACGCAAGCCGCGTTAGGGCCTGCACAACCCTCATACCAAACCCTAAACCCAGACCCCCTGGAGGATCTACAAAGTAGATCCCTTAAGAGTGTTCCTAAACAGAACCCTTTAGTAATCAGGGTCCCAAATTAGGGGTTCTACTTTCTACATCTTTTCGGGTGTCGGGGAACCCTAAACTCATATACAGCCCGACAGACCTGCCCAGTGGGCCCATCCCCCAAGCCCAGCACTGCGGAGTGTGATGCGGCCAGCGTTGTACATGGCTGCAATCTCGAGATGACATTCAGCCTATTTGCGAGGGTTTTTTCTTGTTTTGGCAGCGGAGAAGGGGGGAGTGGGGGAGGCGGGGCGGATTTTGGGTTCAGGGTTTATAACATAGCCTATCGGGCTTGGGGGGTTGAGGTTGTAGGCGGTGTTAGAAAGTTCATGACTTGGAGGCTTTTGGTTCATGTTTGAGTCATATGTTAATGCATCTCATACGTTTCGCGGTGGGGTTCCGGGACATTTACAATTGTGGGCCCTAGACACTTTAGGTTTGAAACACTTATCATCGCAGAGTCTTGGGACATTTGGAGTGTAGGGTTTAGGCCGGCAGTCCGACACATCCGATGCGAATGAGCTGCAGGCATTCTGAGAGGAAGTGAACGAGGGTGTACCGGGCTTGGACCGTTGCTATCGTACCCCAAATCACAGAAAAAGCGTGGCCGAAAAAATAGGGAAACTGCTAAGCACTCAATCCCCTGAGACCTCCACACCATAGAGAATGCTCTGGGGCTTAGGAATAAACACTAGTTAACAACTCCTCCGCCTTAAACTCCTCGACTCGACACCAAACTCCATTCAAACCATGTATACACCATAAGCCTGAACTCATAATACAGGGGCTTAACAATTAGAATAGGGTTTGGGGTATATTATACTATAATTAACTAGAATGCGGAACCCCCGAAACCCTATTCGAATTATTAAGGCCCCGACATTACAAGCCTTACAGATCCACCTATGGAACCAGTCAAACCATGTATACACTATAAACCCTAAACCCCTAAACCCCTAAACCCTAGACCCTGAACCCCGAAATCCTAAACCCATGCAAGCCTGAAAGACCCCCTATAGAACCAGCAAGGCCCTGGTTGGAGAAGAGAGCGTTCTTGCCTCGACACCGGGCTCCTGGCCCCAAACGCGAACTGAAGGGTTTCGGGGGTTTAGAGGTTTAGAGGTTTGGGGTTTAGAGGTTTGGGGTTTCGAGGGTTTAGAGGTTTAGGGTTTAGAGGTTAGGGGTTTGGGGGTTTGGGGGTTTGGAGGTTTATGGTTCAGGGGTTTATGGGGTTTAAGGGTTTAGGGTTTAATGGTGTAAGTGTTTAGAGGTTCAGGGTCTAGGGGTTTAGAGGTTCAGGGTCTAGGGGTGTAGAGGTTCAGCGGTTTAGGGTTCGGGGGTTTAGAGGTTTAGGGTTTACGCGTTTAGAGGTTTAGGGTTTAGGGGTTTAGAGGTTTAGGGTCTAGAGGTTGGGGTTTTCCAGACCGCCAATCGCGAACTGAACCCAATACCTTGAACGAACCAAGTCCCGAAAGGTATTACGAACCCCGTGCCCTACTTCCATGGAGCGCTAAACCGCTAAACCCTCTTGCTTTCCTGGTTCCATATTGGGAGTGAATGGGGATGCCCTGCTACAACAACTTCTTTTTCGGGCATTCTTGGATGCGACTTCTTCAGCCCTGAAAGCATCTGCTCGAATCCATCGCAACCCTACATGTAAGGGTAAACCCCAGGCTCTTGTATAAAGCACCTAAACCTTAGACCCCTTGACACTCCTGAACACTGCGTGCGCACTGAAGCACACTCTAAATCCTGACACCACAGGTCTTTGGGATGTGCTCGGTCGAGGAGTCGAGCATGAAGCTCTCACTGCGCTATGCATGGCGGGTTTCTATGGTGCAGGGTCTATATGGTTTATAGGGTTCAGGGTCTATAACTGTTGAGGTCCAGGGTGTAGACTTACGGTTTAGGGTACCTCTGTAGCACCAATGGCCAATCTACCCCTGGGAACCCAAATCTAGAATCCCCAACATTCCCTTTCGGTACATCTTCCCTACTTCTGGCCCAGAAAACCTACTTTCTTAAGGAACTCATTATATATATATATATATACACAGATATACACATATGTTTATATATATATATATATACAGATATAGATACAGTTATACATATAGATAGATAGGTACAAAATTGTAGACATGCACAGTTAAACAGTTACAGATCGAAACCATAAGGAACCCTGAACTGGTAGGACCTGGTAGGCTTTTCGGCCACCGGTACTGGATAGAAAGAAGACGACCTGTTTACGTCCAGGAGTATTCCTTGATTAAAGGGTATAGGGCCGAGCGACAGCCCCATGCATCCGCAAACTATTGCTGTAAACACCTGAACCCAAGCAGAGGCATACATGCACACACACACACACACACATATATATATATATATATATCGAATACATATGCAAACTGCTCAAACCCGGGGAATCCTAAACTCCAAAAAACCTACAAACCCAGAACCTCAACACCTCGTATTGAACCCTGACGAAGACCGATAAATCCATGCAAAACCTGGCGTGGAACCATAGAACCGCAAGAAGCCTGTATGCAATCCTGAGCCAAAATATACTATACCTTAGTAAATCCCTAAATCCTCAACCCCTCAACTTCAACCCCAACGCACCTATCCTGGTCAATCGAAGACAGCGATCCGCCCGAGATGGATCGTCGACGACGGGGGCGAGCAAGGCGCCAATCGCACCTGGCAACCCTACCGCTGCCGGGTTGGGAGTTTAAGGGTCAGGGGTTTAGGGTTTAGGGTTTAGGGTTTAGGGTTTAGGGTTTAGGGTTTAGGGGTTTACAGTTTAAGGGTTTGGGTAAGGGGCTTAGGGGATGTTTAAGGCTAAGGCCTTTAGGTTTGAGGGCATCCATCCAACCATCTATCCAGATTTCCATGCATACATGCATGCATGCATGCATACATACATACATACATATGTGTGTGTATATATATATATATACATATATGTATATATACATATTGCATGTGAGAAAGCCCGAAAGAATTCGAAGAAACCCTTCGCTCAAACCAAGACTGGTCTGTGCAAGACTTGGGCGTCGGCTTCGGAGCTTTGGGTTCAGGGTTTAGGGTTTAGGGTTCAGGGTTTAGGGTTTAGGGTTTAGGGTTTAGGGTTTAGGGTTTAGGGCTTGGGGTTCCCGAGGGGCCTAGAGGGCCAGTGCCTGAGAGACTGGGGATTGGGGCTCGAGTTTAGGGTTGTTGGGGTTTATAGGGTTTAGGGATTAGGGTTTATAGGGTTTAGGGATTAGGGTTTATAGGGTTTAGGGATTAGGGTTTTTGGGGTTTAGGGATTAGGGTTTATAGGGTTTAGGGATTAGGGTTTTTGGGGTTTAGGGTTTAGGTCTTAGGGTTTAGGGTTTAAGGTGAAATTGCATAGGCTAAGGGTCGATGCATGCCATGCAGTGCCAGAGGCTCCGAAACCGTTTTCAACAAGGAATAAACTGAATAAGCCTTCAATCATGCTGGGGTTGCATTAAAGTGTGAGGTACGTTCCCTAGTTAATCGACGTTGACTAATCGACTGATCACCGTCACCACATCTCGCTGTGCTCCACCGGATACTCGAAGTCGGGGTCATCGTCACGCTGCAATGCTGACGCGCACATCACTGAACTAACCGGGTTTTCAATGCCAAGGGTGAAGCACGGTTTAGAGTTTAGGGTTTTGAATTTACAAGGTTTAGGGGAGGTCATATCCAGATGTTCAGCGCGTGGGGTTTGGGGCTTATAGGGTCCAAGCTCGAGGCCCTAAACCCTAAGCTCCCCTCTTCTTGAATGAAGCATCGAGGATCCCTTACCGATAAAGGCCCTACGAAACCCCAGAAAATCCTATACAGCTTTCGTAAAATCCCTACGATACCTTTGTGAAACCTTCTTCGACACTTATTGCAAAGACCTAAACCCTGAATCCCCAAACGCGAAACAAGCAGGGGCGAACCAATCCGAAAGGTCCACCAATGGGATCCTCGGAGATTTTGGGGTTTAGGGTTTAGGGTTGGGTGTGTGCAAGGTTGAGTAGGTGTTTACTATAAGGTGTGAGACGAGATGTTATGTGAGGACTTCGGCCGTTTGACTTTTTAGGAGTTTAGGGTGTGGGAAGCAGTACAGTATGCCAAAACATGTTTTGTCGGGAAGCTGCTTGTTGTTCATGGTCGCTGTGGGGCCTCCTCACTGGCCCAAAACCCAAGGAA